TTTGCCGGCGCCATCCTCATGGTGCAGTACTTGCGTCAACACCACTTGCGTCGACACCAGAGTCCCGTACTCTATCAGAGGTAGAGAATAGCTACACTGCGAAGCATAATTATAGTTCCACCCATAAATCTCATAAAGTCCCGTCCTACACGACGTTTACGAAAGACTCAACAAATCGATTGATCCAACAACAACTGTACAACAAAATGAATGAAGTTTTAATTCAGTAAATCTGTTGGAGCTCCATTTCTCCGAATAAGTTGGAAAATACGGTCCATTCTCGAATAGAGGTTGTCAATAAGCTTTCGGTCGACATGGTGCCATGCATCAATGATTGCCTCCTTGAGCTCACGGACATTTTGGAATCGCGCATTGTTCGCGTAGATCTTGCGTGAACCATGAAGCCCCACACATGCCTTCGGCTAGCATGAACTGGTGCATTGTCTCGCATGGAAACTGGACTTTCTTGCCGATTTTCACGCTAGAAAGGAGGAAACCTTGTCGCGTAACGCTAAGGTAATCGGAAGAGTTCATTTTTTTTCGATACGAAACACAGCTTCAGACGTTCCGTTGGTGATGGCAGCCCAGACTGTTACACCACCTCCTCTGAAGTTACGCCTAGAAACATGAAGCTTCTCTTTTGTCAGGTCGTGCCAGCAGTACCGGTTGTCGTCTAGGCCGGCGCAGATGAGTTTTTTTCTCATCAGAAAACGCGGCAAAAACTGAAAAGAGAAGACAGGCAAGCAGTAAGGCCCGGCGGCCAACAGCTAACCGCCAATCGGTCCGGCAACTTCTTGTAACAGAGGCAATTCGGTTTCCACGATGGTTTTCTATTAGAAGCGGTGTCTTCCTCATATTCCTCCTGATTATGATCTCGGGACTTTTTCAAGACATGCCAAACAGTATCTTTCAGGACACCAAACTTCGAAGATGACCTGATTTCCTGGCACGACATTGTGGTGTTGGATGCTTCTCTGAGGATACGGCGCTTATCCCGATCTGAGAGCAAGGGAGGACCTTCAGAGCTCTTTTTAGCTCAATATCCTATAGGTTCCTTGACAAAATTGTCGATAATGTGATAACTGTGGCCCAAATCCCGTGCGATTTGACGTTCGACAGTACTTGAGTCTTCTTTGCGATAATCTGTTCCTTTTTCGAAGTGCGATAATGGATTTCCACTTGCCATAGCCTAGAAAAGGCAAAAGTCATAATGATGAGAAAGTTTTACCTTAACAAAAATGAGATGCAGCGGGAAAATATGCGGTGGAACTATCATTTTGCTCCATTGTAGTGTTTGATACTGACATGCGAATTGGTATTGGTAATTACCACATTTTCTGTATGGGGGCATTTTTGAAAACGTCGTGTAAGACGGGATTTTGTGAGATTCATGGGTGGAACTATGATTATGCTTTGCAGTGTAGAAGAAAGGGGGGGGGGGAGGAAGGGGTGCAAACAAGTATCCGGCTGTGGTTAGGTGTATATCCGTGCGGCAGAGTGGGCGGAGTATATAGACATATAGATGGCACTTGAGTATAACAAGCTCGGTCTCAATTTCGTGCACTTTGAGCGGAGAAAAAGGGGCGATACTGCTGCTGATGCGCACCTGTTCTCCTTACACGCGGCAAGGATCAGGATCCCCTAGAAGAGCTGCAGTTCGCCTTTTGATACCCACTAACACCCCAGTCCTTCAACTCCATTATCAACACCCTCTTGTTGTGAAATGTCCCTATGCAATTTCCAATTTCACTGATGCTGTTAGTGATTCCTATGCTGTTAATCTTTTTGAAGGAACTGAAGTGCCGTTGTTCCTTGCTATTGAAATCCTAATCTTTTGCAACGGTCGTAACACTGAATTAACAAGCTGCACATGGTGCACGACCTGCTCTTTCCTCTCAGCTAATTTGGTGATTTTGTTCCGCGAAAAATCGCCCGGAGAGAATTTGAAAATTGTGATGGGTCTACTTGCTAGCCTCATCATTGCTGAGGGTGAGACCCCTTACTGACGATGAGTGGAAGGGGGCGATATTCTGTTGGCGCAAGTTTCGAAGGGTATGGTGTGGGCTGCAGAACCTCTTAGTAGTTCCTTGAGGGGAACTTTGCCTATCGGATTGCCCTCCTCATACAGCGCAAATGCTTCCAGTGAATTCAGTAGCTTCTGGACGGTATTTCGAGAAAAGTCGAAAATGTTGTTTTTCGCTGCGCAAACTGGACTACTGAGCTTTTTTATTCGAAGGCTAGAAAATGTAAGTAATCATCAACGCCCAAGGAGGAGAGTAGTGATGTAAATGCACTGTACTGCGTGCTCTCAACACTAGTAACAAATCTTTATTTACAATTTCGAAAGAATGGAAGTAAGCTTTTATGTAAATCGCTAACGTCTGCGGTGAAATGCTCCCAGTATCTGAAAGTTCCAGTCTAAAAGTTAATGTTGTTCACCATGTGCGTGATTGCCGGCACAAAGGCCACACCGCAGACTATACCTGAAATTCGATGGGCTATCCTTTTTCGCGGAGGTGCTCTTGCAAATGCGAGTTTTTTTTAAGAATGAGAATCCCTGATGCAAAGGTGTTTCTAGCCCTGAACTGTCCATTAGCCTTGCCAGCCAAGGTGGGCCACCCAAACTCTGCGCGTCTGCTTGCTGATTGATGCAACTAATAAGGCCCCGAGTTCGAGCGTTTTCGGCCATTTAGCTCCATTTGGGCTTCGCTGTCACCCTGTTCAGTGCCTCTGCTTCCGCTTTCTGCCAGCGACCGAATTATAGTACCCACTGCCTTTGGCGCTGCTTCCGCATCCCTGACCTTCTAGAGTAACTTAGCACGCACCTGTAACCAAAAACAACGCCGCAATCATTCCAGCAGTTTTCGATAAGGAACCCGGAACGACCCTGAAAGTAAGCGGTTCCATTCATATGTTTATGATCAAATTTCCATGCAGTGACAATTTACATACCTGGGAGCATACATCATAGCAAGAGAGCTAAAATAGCCGCTGGTAAATGCCATAATGGCATTGCCGATGATAAAGTACCATTCGTTCTCGAAATATACGGGCATTACCCGATCGTCGACGTTATAGTTGCAGAGCATGAAGAATGGAATGAATAGTAGACGTGCAGACACAGGGACTAACAGCAGATTTGGCCCTGGCTGGAATGTATTAGAGGTACAAAACGGATGGATAACATAATTAGCATAATGGGGACAATGGGGATGTCCCCTATCGTGTTTTCCGTCTGTTTCTCCACGAGTACATACCCTGGCACTCACTGTTACTGTCTTAAGCCAGCACCAGTGGTACTAACACTGCTGGGCTTCAGTGTTCCGTCTTGGTTCACTTTTTAATAAACCTCATGAGGGGTTGGTCTAAAAATAGTCCCTCAACACAGCCCTTGCCGTGCACTTTGAAATGCGGAGGATCACCTGCAGTCTGAGAAAGAGCGTCCCAGATTCGCTCGCAATTCCAGTGCGACCGAAGGAATACGTTCATTGTCAGAATACCCACAAGGCGATGTCTCCATGTTGAACTTTCAGAATCCTCAACTAGTACAGTGCATAACGATTATATCGGAAGATCTGTAGTTGCCGGCCGGAAATGGCTTGTATTCTAGGAAACGCAACCGTGGGTGGGCACTTCCCGACGTCGCCCAGTCGCTTCACATCGTTAGAAATTTCTTCTCGCAATTCCTTCCTTCCCCATATTCTCTCTGTCTTTCTATGTCCGTCCAGCAAACACAATGTGTAGAGTAGAATGTTCCACAACACTCACAGACATCAGATGGTTCTCTGGGCCCGGGTTGGAGTGGCTATCGCATCATTCATCTCGGGCAGCTAAGATCTCTTCAGTGACGCCAGGAATTGGTTTACCGAAAGGATCGAACAGAAAGACAAACAGATCATTGGCCTGGCCCGGGCAATGATCGACGTGAAGGCATAGTAATCCAACCACGTGCTTCGGTTAGCACATTACACGGCGGTAGGGAGGGGGAGGCAGAAAAGAGACATTTTATCCATGGCCGCGCTAGAAATCCTATCTCGCACGTTGTGACGGGCTGATCGGATACAGTGGAGATTCGCTTCGAACTCTGATCCCGATCCTTCTATCTTGAGAGAATCTGCTGAACTGAAGTGCGTGAGATCGCACAACGTTCGGCGATCACATTGGCATTGCCGACTTACAAGAAACGAACAGGGAACAGTAGCGACGCTGTCTAAAGGACAGGGCGTCTGCTGTCCCTCAGAACAAGGATTCCCAGTGTCAGTCCAGGAATGCTTAGGTGTCGGACATCGTTAAAAGATTCCCACTTCTCACTTCTTTCGCTCTTTGGCAGATTCACCTACGGGCCTCACTGGACTGATTACTAGCTACCTCCTGACCTGTCGTCAGCAGACTGAGCTGAGTCAAATATATTCACCGCGAGTAACCAATTCGTAGGAGTTACAGTCTGGTCCGCTGCGGATGATCGGCATGTCAGTGCGACTGCGTTTGGCGCGATACCAGACCCGTTTTCCAACGGTTGTTGAAGCATGTCAGTGACAAAGTTGGTGGAAAAAGACTCATACGAACGATATGATACAGGCTCGCCGCTTGCTCGGTTCGGCAACTGGTGAAAACGTTTTCGGCATCGCACCAAGCGCAGCCTTACTGGCAGGCCTAAGCGTCGACGGCGAACCGAACTGTATGCAGCTGCTTCTGGCTGTCAGGAGTGCTGTAGACCTTCTGAAGCTAGACTGCCGTGACTGTCCTCTTCACCTTCCCGCGGCGGTAACAGGGGTGATTAGGGTGGCTTCCCATGTTCTGGTCTATGGGATACAACGCCAGTTGCAGAGCTCCCTTAAGATGGGTTTTTTTTCTATGTGCGTAGAAGAAGAAGTAAAGCTTATCGAAGAAACAGAATCAAAATAAGTCGGAGGGCCTATTTACACCGGAGTGTGGCGAAATAGGGTATGACTTACAATTTGTATGAAATTTGCCGTTGTTGAACCGATGGCGGCGAGAAGGTTAAAGTTAAGGAATACCGTGATTCCGTAGTAGATTTCTCCTTAAGACTTGGGGTAATCGGCAGCTTTCAGTTCAATAATCGGTAAAACGAGTTTACTCACTAGGAACAGGAACTTGACTACTCCATTGTTGTCCCTTATTGTTAGGTGTTATACCGGCCAAAATGGTAGGAAATACTGCGAGTGTGACAAAAAATACCAAAAATACGCTCACCAACTGCGCCCAACACTAAACAAGGGCTTTATTGGCAGGGTTCTATAGATGGAACTTTTTGTAGGCAGATGGAACTAACACATACCCCTTTGATCGTCTGCATGAATTGCTCTAGACTGGGTCGGCTGGCATGTTCAACCTGGCGGGTTAGCTTTCCTTTATAGACATAATATTTGAAAAATTCCTTAAAATTGATGCAAGTGGGGTTTTCAAGTCTCACAACTATACTACTGTGGACAACTTACTATTTGAGTCAAACAGTACAGGGAGAGGACGCAGGCGATAAGCACTACCAGTGAAATCGAGAAGTATACTATTGCCACGGTTTTGCTGTCGGTTATGAACGCTTCAATATGTATCATCAAAAGTTATTCAAAGGCAGTGGAAATGATGGAGGGGCGGGCGGTAGCTGCCAACGTCATTGGTGGAAGAGCTGGATGGGGTATGTGTCGCGGAACGCGACTGTTGCCCCGGGCTCGCCGAGCGCCTGAGCTCTGTCGCGCCCTACGGCCAAACTATGCGCTGCTCCGCGTCAACCAATAGGCGCGGGCCACGTGATGTCCCGCTGCGTGCTGCTATATAAAGCGGCCGGCGAGAGACTCCGCGCAGCGTTGCTCTCTTGGCATCCCTTCCCTGCGGGGAGGAAAGTACTCCTTTCCTGCCTGCAGAGAAGGTCAATGTCAGGCTCACGTGGAGTGCAGGGTCCGAGTGGCACCTGTCGCCACGAGGACCATCACTCGCGCAGGCCGGCAGAGTAACCTTGCCGCTCTTACCGCGAACTATGTCAACTATGGTCCGATGGATTGGTCGTCCGGACTGAGAGTAGAAGAAGAGGTTGGCAGATGTTCATGGTTTCCCGCGACAATAAATGTGAGTGTTTATAGTTTGTGTTGTTTGTTCATGTATCAGGGCAAGCACAGGGGAGCGCCAGGGCTGGGGCCCGACTAGAGCGCTGTAGGTTCATTGTGCCATCATGCATCTGTAGGCTTGTGTGTTATGCTTTGTCCTACCGGTTGTGCGTCCAGCGGCCAGGGAATCCCTGGTCTGGTCCTTGTGGCCGGGCCAGGGGTAGACCAGCCGTGGGGACAGTGCTACCGCAAGTTCCCCCGCAACCCCCCTGGGATAGGAACCGTAGACGCCTGCGGGGCAGCGGAGCTGTAACTGAACTAGACGTGCGCTCCGAGGAGGATACCTGGGATGGACGTGAGGCCTTGGGTGCGGGCTCAGGGGGGGCTCTGCAACGCGCCCCGATGGTCGTGTTTGAGGGATCAGGCAGGGCGATTGCCTCTGAACCACGACAGTATGGCCAAATGCTGTCTCTCAGCCCGTCTACTAATGGCGTTAGGAGTAACCGCCCATCCCAGCCATGCGGCGCCACTGCGCTTGAAGGCCAACACTGGACATTTGTCGGAAAGCCTAAAGTAGGGATGCGTGAACGGAACGCTATGGTCGCTTAACAGATGGCAAGAATGCTGATGTGTGGCGCCAAAAATGTTGTTACGCTGGAGATTTGATGGCATTTGTGCTAATTGGCTGGAAAAGTCTGGCCAGTCAGCCATAATACTGAATTGCTGAAACGAACCAATTCACGTCAAGTGTGAAATTGCACTTATCGAGAAGAATTCGCAATTTCCTATGTAAAAATTATCCGACGACTTAAACCCTGGTACGGTTCCTGGGAGCAGATGATGTTGTTGTAAGTTGCGCTGCTTCACATGTAGGTGATCCTAGGGGTCTGATCCCGAATCGGCTCCCGCCCAATTAAAGTAACATAAGCGCCCCCACCTCCAGCCGGTAAATGGTACTTGCGTCGTGCATCGACCGGCCTTGCAAATTATCTGTCGGCGATGTCGCATTAAGTGCTACTGTGGTCCTGAATGGAAGGGTGCATCGCAAGAAATGATTCACCAACGCTTGAAAAGCTTTGTCAACCACTCTTCATGCTCGAATTCGCTGCCTTCCACTTTCGCGGTAAAACTGATGGGCCACGACACCGAAGTATAACTGATTTATAGCTACAATTTGTACAACCAGTCGGCTAGCAGGCTGACGCCGGCGTGGCCTCCTTCTGATACGGCCCGGCTGCGCCGGGCGGGCGCGCTTCGCCGCGCGTATTTTCTTTCACATATTTCTACACTCAACTGATATCCGCCTTTTGCTTCTGTACTCCACCTTTTTTCCGGTGTCTGAAGTGTTCTTTTCCGGTCTTTGAAGTGCTCTGGAACAGTTTTAGAGGACTTTCGTCTGGCCCCGCCCACATACATATGTATACCCCACATTTCTCAATCGGCGACCCCATGCTGACCTGAATTCACTTTATTCCGGTCTTCGGAGTGCTCTGGAACCGTTTCACAGTTTTTCGTCTGACTCCGCCCACCTCGGGCTGGCTCCGCCCCCATTTTTGCGACCACAATCTTCACCGACGACGCCATCTTGCTGGACTTTAGTCGCACTTTTTGCGGTTTCGGAGTGCTCTGGGACCGTTTTTGCCGATCTTTGTCTGACTCCGCCCACCTCGGGCTGGCTCTGCCCCCCAATTTTTGTGCCCCACAATCTTCACCGACGACCCTCTGCTGACCTAATCCGTATTCCGGAGTGCTCTGGACCGAGTTTTAGCGACTTTTGTGTCGGCTCCAGCCCACCTCGCACCCACAATGTTTTTGCCCCACAATCCCCACCGGCGACCCTCTGCTGACCTTAGACCACTTTATTCCGGTCTTCGGAGTGCTCTGGGACCGTTTTACAGACTTTTTTGTCTGTGCTCGTGCCAACCGTCGCAGCAGGCTCCGCCCACAATGTTTTTGCCCCACAATCCCCACCGGCGACCCTCTGCTGACCTTAGACCACTTTTTCCGGTGTCTGGAGTGTTCTGGAACCGAGCTACAAACTTTTGAAATGATTACCCTGCGATTAAGGGCAAGCTCCGCCCACTGTGGGCGGGTCTCAACACACTTTGAGCGCGTGGCCCTATATTCGCCAGATATTTACATCTATATTGCTGGTCCGGGGCGTGCAGCGCAGCTTTCGCCCGCGGCCCCCTGGGGGCACGACGGGCCTGTAGGGAATGCCGGCCCGGGGGCCCTCGCCGTGCCGGCCCGGCGCCGGCGGGGGAGTGCGGGGCACCACTGAGTTTTTTTGCGAGCTTCCAAAACACTCTCGGCGACAGGGTTTACCTGAATTTTTACGAGAAGCACCGCCCACAGCAAATGTGTTACGCCCGCCCCCTCCCCCCCCATTTTGAAGACGTGTCTTCCACAGTTATCTGGCGATCTTACTAAACCTTAAATCGCCTGCTTTTCAAACCAGTCTTTACGCACGCTGCTTCCGAAGCGAATTATGATTACTTTTCTGCGGAGCCCCAAATTTCGGCGAGTGCCCCGCCCACTGTGGGCGGGGCTTCCCATAGGTCAAGTGTGCTTTTTATTTCTTGTCCCATGCCCTACCCATCCCCACCTTGACCGCGTTGACTCTCGCAAGTCGTCCTTCAGGTCGAATGAATTTCCCGGACAGACAATTACAAACCAACACAACACCACCCAACGAACAAACAGACGAAGCGAAATTATATATATATATATATATATATATATATATATATATATATATATATATATATATATATATATATATATATATATATATATATATATATATATATATATATATATATATATATATATATATATATATATATATATATATATATATATATATATATATATATATATATATATATATATATATATATATATATATATATATATATATATATATATATATATATATATATATATATATATATATATATATTGGTCTTTTGTTTAGATATGGGAAGCTCCAGAATGTATTTTGCTTCCCAAAAGAGGTGTTTAAACCAGTGTGGCATACCAACACACCACTCTCATTTCCACACCTCTCAAGCGGAGCATTACAGCAGTATACGGTCTACGGACGAAAATTGCGATATATACGATCGCTTATGACGCGTCGATCTTCTCTTTATATGAATCTGCACTCTGCATGCCGCATCGAGCAGCTCTATGGCGTTTGTGACCGTTCGCTCACGTTCAGGCTTTTCACTCCAACTATAAGTAGCTCAAACGCAACCCGCCTCCCCTTGAAAATCCTGTTGTCCTGCTCGCACATAATATTCTGCACGTTTCGATGGCTTGTGCGCAGCTGCTGCCCTCTTATGCGCGACTGCAGTCAAAGGGGTTTTCGTAACAGGGATCATGCACTAAAGTTCAAAATGTCACGTAATCCACTCTTCGAAGGAATCTCCCTCGTATTGGAGTCGCTCTAGGGGGAGGGAGGGGAGAAGGGGGAATTATATAGGCTTGGACTAAATAAGTAATGGGCCGGTTCTCTTTTCAATTGAAAAATTTGTTTGAAAAGTGAAAACCGATTTTCGGCAGCCAAGTTATCCATAGTCATGCTGATAGGAAACTGTCTCCGTAGTATACGAGAACATCCAAAAAGCCTTTGGTTCGAGGATATAGTTTCGTCGAATTCTTCTCTAAGTCGTTAGTTGGACAGTGAAGTCGCGGCGAAAGATTAGCCATGCATTCGAACAAACTGCCTCATATTATTACGTCTACTTGAAGTGCTAAAATCGCTTAAGCTGCTCCATACATTCGGAAAGGTTGAGGTAGAAGTCTCAGCGAGGGGATCTCAATACTACGCTTGATGGAAACTAATTTCAAGAAAGATCAAAGTTGGCAAGCTTCTAGCTTGCCATGATTGGCAGACCTCACGTCGGTTCCCAGCCCGAAGATAGTCGATGCGCTAATGAGTTGAATGCTAATTGAATTTGAAATTTCGGATATTGCTACATACTGAGCTGAGAAGTTTGGCTATTATTAAACGATATATAAGCTTGCTTGCAAAACGTTTTACTTTTGGAACAAATTTTTCGATTGAAAAAACGGCCATTACTTATTAGCCAGCCCACTGCTAGTGGGCTGGCTAATAACTGCTAGTGGGGGCTATAGGCTAATAAGTAAGTGTAAGTTCGACCTGCGGAGGTTGCTGCGTGTCAGGCGGCTGCGTTTGGCGGCGGTGCCAGTTCATTGCTAGCAGCTCAGTTGGTGTAAGCAGCACAAGTGGTAATTTGTTGCAATACCCTTCGTATTAACTGCCCATTTTGCTCGTGCAGTTTTCTGTCGCATTGGCCGCGCTGAACCAAGAGGCAGAGCAACGGCTCTGAAGAGGGTGACAGCAACTCTTAGCTGCTGAAACCGGCCGGCAACCGTCCGGCAGCGACTGAGGATAAGTAATGGCCGTTTTTTCAATTGAAAAATTTGTTTCAAAAGTGAAAAGTTTTGCAAGCAAGCTTAACATCGTTTAATAGCAAACTTCTCGTAGTATTAGAATATCAAATTCAAATTCAATTACCCTAAAATCCCATAGATAAGAGCGGTCCATAGATAAGAGCGGTTTGTGCTAGAAAATGAAAATTGACGTTTGTATACGTTTTTTTGGCGTTGTGTGCTCATGATTATCGCAATAATAGCCTACAACTCTACCTTTATTCTTACTGTTTTCTATACTCTTTCTATCCTGTATCACCTGCTATGAAACGTCGTAAATCGTATACAGCAGCTTTCGCTATTTTTCTATATGAATTGTTTATTAAGTGGGCGGGGTTGAAGTTGAGGGGCGGAGCTTCTTCTAAACTTCTTCTCCGATTTTTATTTATCCATCCATCAAGTTAGAGGGGTGACTGCATTCAATTTCAAATTTCAATTTCCAACAATTCATTTTTCACCGGTAAATTAAACCGCTCTTATCTATGGGATTTTAGGGTAATTCAACTATTAGCATGAAATTTCTAAATAGAGGCAGTTGTCGAAGATGCTAATTTTCGCCGACTTCCCTTCCAATTTCAACTACTAAAAAATTCACAAAAGAAAACTATATCCTCAAACCGATAGCTTTTTGTGATATTCCTATACTACTGGAGTTTGCCTATCAGATTATATATAACTTTTGCGTTGCAAACGTTTCAACTTTTTCGAACAAATTTCCAATTGAAAAAAACCGCCATTACTTATTAGACAGCCTAATAGAATCTGGCTGACTGATTGTGAGGAGTCTGTTCCGATTTTAAGAGCCTTCGACACCTGGAGAACTATAGATGAGTTACCTTATTAAAGTGGAGGTAAGGAGTTGAAGATGAGCCTCGAGCTTGTGGGAGGTCATATCGGAAGCGGCAGAGGACTGTAGGGGGCCTTTCTTTCTCCTGGGGCCGTATGCTATACTTCCCCTCGAAAGGAGATATCCCCCTAAAAATTCCCATTTCCGCCGCTATCTCTACTGATGCCCCTCGTCTCTCTGGCTCTCACCGCTCTGCATCCATACTCTTTTGGCGCATGCTCTGTGCGAATATAGTGCAGCGCAGAGTATAATCGATATGCTCCCCTCTCCCCAGCGAATGTCGTTGGGGGAGATTCCGCGAGAGTGGGGAGACATAGATGCAGAGAGGCAGAAGCAGATTGACGAGGGGCATTGATAGAGATAACAGCAGAAAGCGGGGATTTAGTGGGGGAAATCTCCCCTCCGAGGAGAACTAGAGCGCCCCTGGTTTACACCGTTTTAACTCCCAAGCATACTATTTTCATTTTTGTGCATCACTCCTACACTGCCTGCCGAGGCTTTTTTATCAAAAGTTCGCTCTGGCAACTAAACACTTCCCCCCGCCCCCCTCTCACCATTCATTCGATTAGACTACAGTAGAGGTGCGTAAGGTGAGAAAGAATTGTGGGCGGCACTATGCGTCTCACTTCATCTATCTGGTTTTCTTGACCCTACCCTCAGGCGCTAAGAGGTACGAGGGAAAGTCGAGAAAGAATTGGTAACGGACCTGATACAAGCCATTGGACGCGTTCATAACAATGACTATGATCAGCGACACGTAAAAAAACCATTCCATGGCTGAAAACAGTTTCTCGGATAACTTCAACCAAGTCGCACAAGCGTTTAGTACACTCCCCCCCCCCTGATGATGATTACCTTCTGGACTGGGATCTTGAGATACAGCCAGCACAATTATAATAGCCACGGTTATGCAATTGACTGTAAGCGTGCCAACGATTCGAATCATCAGCGTTCCACTGAAAGGTGTATTTTCAACTGTTTAGGAAGTAAAAAGCCTACCAAGTTTTTCAACACGTTGACGACAGCGCGGGTTTTTACTTTCTCGGTCTTGTAGGACACGCGCGATACGCTACAATGCACGCGATCCCACGAGGCGCCTTTTTTTGGAGAACCTGGTGGATCAGAAAACCTGGTTTGGGGAGCATTTTCTACTCTACCACTCATCAATTTCTACTTCTGCTCTACAATTTCCAAAGATCAGGGACGCGCAGTAGCTATGAGACAAACTAAGCGTCAATACTCCGGTGCCAGAAAATTTTCTCTATCAATATTTCCATAAAAAACACAACTCGTCGTGCCTCCTTTAAGACACGATCCCTCATTTCATGCTTTTCATCATTATCAATATTGTACTTGTCTGTATTTGTAAGCGAAGAGTTGAAGAGCAAACCAATCCAAACAAAGCGGTGTTCTTTCCCCAGGGAATTCTTTGCTAAACTAGTGTGTACTAAATTATTCCATGGACCACGCGTTGTACGAGTATACTAAGGACTGAACTATAGAATGAATATGGGAAACTAAACAAAAAACCATGCACTAGTGAAAGATATGGATTTGTTGATCGTGATTCGTATTCAATTCACGCGGTCCCACGTGGCCTACAAAGCGTGGATTAAATGCGTATCACGCGTTCGTCAATGTGTTAAGCTCCTTGCAGCCTTATTTGTGTGTCTGGGGAGAATTACCGCTGTGCACACGATCGCGAAGCAAAACCTAGGCGATTTTATGGTCCGTATCGAAGGACAAGAAAGGTACTTCCTCAAGTAGTCGCGATGCCGGCAATGGGCGCATATTGCCAGTTTTCCTCTCTTATGCAAACGTCTTCACCCCTCTTCCATCTGGACTTTCTCAGGTGTCGTCACGTTCGCGGCTAAATATGTGAAAACGCTCCTTTGTACTTTAAGATTGTGTTCGGCCTCTAGTGCGTCTAGATTAAGCGGGAACTCAGCATAAGAAGCACTTATACGGTATTTAAAAGAGCCGTCTCTTACCCAATGATTTGTGCTGCATTCAAGACACTCATAAGGAAATTGGGAATTTGAGAAGTGATTCCAAGAGCGCTCATGAAGCTTTTGGCGTATTCCGTCTTAACTCCATCACTCGTGAACCAATAATCAACATAGTACTGAAAAATTCAGATTTCCCCAATGGTTTGTGATGAAAGTTCCTTAGAGTCAGTGAAATTCAATCCGCATTGATTTGGAAATCGATTTTTCCGAACACTGTTTCTCATTCATCAAATTGAAGTGCATGTCTGCTCTTAACTGATTTCTCCTTCCTGGCGGATGTAATTCAGCCGGAGCATACCATCGTCGTATTGAAGCACAAGAGAGGAGGGTCGTATCTGGCTGCTTAAGAGGGGGCTGTATTCTGCCATGAAAACTTTTCCCCTCAGTGTTCGCGCTCAAGCGTTCTATTTACTGCATCGTTGTGAGAATTTTATGGAGGAGCTCGTAGTTGTTCGATGAGGGGCAGAGGGGGTAATATCTATAATTGAGAAGTTTCTTCGAGCCGAGAGAAAGATTTTTTTGCGTAGCCAATTTTCCGCGATTTTCCCCGCCGTTTCATGAGCGCACGCTGGACCACTCCACCGCCTTCCTCTCCCGCCACTCTTTACGTCACGTGATGGTGCGTCATGTGCTCATCACATTCGCGCCGGGTACAGCATTAGGGAGAGGGACCCAGGGCACAGCATTGGTTGGGGATTCCCTATGGGGGGTCGTATTTGGCCGCCAAAAGGGGGGTCGTATTTGGGCTGGGAAAAATTTATTTTTATAGTTGATTTTTCTCGCTTTGCGGACGTTTTGGAGGGAGGGTCGTCCCTCCCCCTCGACAACTTTTTCTTTCGCCGAGATAGTCAGCCATGTCAGCCATCGTACGAGCATGGGGGGGGGGGTCGTACCAGCCCCTGAAAAAAGGGGGGGGGTCGTAAAAGCTCGACCAAAATCCCCATCGAATGCTGTGCCCTGGAGGGGCCGTATTGCTTTTCTGCCGGTTCCCTTAGAGTTCACATCAACGAGTCAAAGGAACAATGAATGCCGCCTTGAAATGCCCCCCTCAATGTCGCCATGAACTTTGGTGAATGTGGAGTGGGGTAAGTGAGTCTTTTCGTCTATCTTCAAAAAGCAGCCCGCACATGCATAAGTGTCACTCGGTATGTATCCCCCCTCACCCTCTCGCTCACTCCCAAAGAGGGGGGTGGAATGTGGCGTCACCTGAGCCTCATTTGCACCAAGCACAACTCATTTGGTTCAACGTAGAAATGCCGTGGTGTGTAAACTGGCTAGGAGATACCCTGTTGTTCAGTGCGCACGCAGCGGTGACCAGAACAGCGGTCGATGAAGGGACAATCAAATATGGGTCCTATCGCCCCTAAAATGATCGGATCCAGAGTACCAGTCGAGGAAAATTCTGAAGTTTTCCATGCAAGATGGTCATCTCGAATTGGAATTTAGCGAAAATTTCCTAGAGAGATTTCGCATCGCGGTGAATCCTAGTGTTCAAGGAGACTCACATTTGGAGCGATAGTGATGAACATATTCCATGGTATAAGCACTCCGATACCGTGCAGCGCAGCGAATTAACCAGACCATCCGGCACTGAAGAGATTTTCATCGTCGTGAAAGGTGGGAAAGTTGAAAAGTCCTCACCTGTAGCTCCCACGGTCAAGGTTTTCAGAGGGATTAGTAGCAACTTTTTCGAGGCATATCAACAGGCAAAGGAGCTATCCTGTTTGCATCCCATAGCGCTATGCCCGTTTGCATGCCTTCCATGTCTGAGGACGCAAACGAGTGTTCCCAAGTGCACCCGGTGATGTCTGCGTATTTCCGAACCATCCTCTCTTCTGTTTGGAACGTTGCAGCCCCCTCTAATATGGACCTGTCCACAAAAAGCTGCGTGGTCGCTTTCTATAATGGTTGTGTCGTTCTATACAACCTGATTTATCGGGTTGGATTCTATGCATTGCCCCCAGAGAAATCACTTGTGCAAAAAAAGGACTTGACCTTTACCAGTTCGTATTAATTTGATTGCTTACGGCATCATTCGGCGGCTCTCCGAGTTCCCCGTAATCGACATCTTTCCCTGTTTTGCTAGAAATTGACCCTGACTCGACGATGCTCTTCGTGTCCCATCTCTCATTCATCTGAAATAAGACTCTTTATGTGACGTGAATTTGTACTTCTTCTTCATTATTACAAGGGTTTACTCGCCTAATAGAGAGCACTGAAATTCTTCGCTGGTAGTGTGTAAGGGTACGAACAGGCTTGAGGCAGTCCCAGAAGAATTCATAGGTTACTGCAATGGAATCGGGGCTGTCATGCGGCAGAGCACTCACTGGAGATGGGTGCTACTTTGAAGCGGCCGTTTATGATGGGATCCGAACCAAAAGACTCGTTTTCCGAAGCTAATCTTGAGTCTCCCTTCAGAATTTTCCAAACTATTCTCTGATCGAAGTTATGGAGTTTCCTCTCTGCATTGTCTCACATGGTACTGCATAGGAGGCGCCCTCATCATTGTGACACTTCGAGCAACTTGGTAGTGCTGTGGCAAGGGGTTCGCCTCGTATTCAACACGTCCTGGAACCGCAACGTTGCTGTGCTTTCATTTTTTGCTCTCCTCTGAACGTTGCTAAAAAGACTTCCAACATTGCTACAACGTCGCTACGCACCTACAAAGAAGTAGCAAGCACTCTTCCAACAGGTTCGATCGCTTGGGGCTTATAAGAGGACACGGGTTTCTAAGTGCCTGTAGCGCACTCCGTTAGCGTTTTTGCGCCAAACGGGTGTTATGAATACTAGCGTTCAGGGTGGAAACTACTCCTATTACGATCTCTAGTCAAATGTAAAATTTTGACGTGACTTTCAAAAGGGGGGGAAGCAGTGGGTGAATCATCACTGCTATTTGGTTTTAGGCCAGCCTGTCATCGATGATTTGGCAAATTTGCGTTTAATGTCAGGAAACTGCGCCTGTACCACAGCGACGTGCCAGAAATGCCCAAGATAGGGTCCGCAAAGGACAATGTTTCTGTAGCAAAATGCCAGATTTAGCTAGAAGCTCGTATCTAGGGATAACTCAATTCCCCTTAACACGACTATAACTTGCTCAGTGCTTAACCGCTTGCAGCATGTGCATCGGGCACCTGTACAACCAAGTCTTCTGCTAGACCCTAAGGCGCCCAGCAGTAGTAGAGCACGCAAACCCTTGAGACAAGTTGAGGAGTTGTCAGGGTGAGCTCGTGACGACTACAGCTAGTGATGATACAACTATGTTCCGCCGTGAAAAGCTTTATAACTTCATCAAAGAATCATTTTGCAATTTTTGAAAGCAGGTTTTTGAGAATGAGATTAGAAATTGCGCATCATTTCCAATTACAAACGACCTCTAACACGGGGTCTGTCTCTAATTAAAGACTGCCCCCGCTCAAGTAGTACACGGTCGTCCTTCCTTGTGCAAGTAGTACAGCCCCCAAGCTAGAGACTATCCCACTCTCGCGACTCCACAGCGAGCGAGGAGCTACAGCCGCTGAAAGTTCTAGTTCTAACGCCCGCTCAGTTGGACCGCCCACTTGCTAGATGCCCTCCGACGGAGGGCAGCTCAGTTGTTCTTTGTTGGGGCGGCGGGCATTAATCGGAATTGCATGTCCTTTTCGCTGACAGCGCTCATGCCCATGAATGACCTCTCCTTTATTACATTTTATTAATCAGGAGCACATACAGTCAACTCCAACACATCTCGCAAGATAAAACGCGTAAAAATCACGAGCGACCCAATTTTCGTGGTGCAAAAGCTCGACGCACTTCACTACACTAAAATATGCACGCTACCGTAACCCTAAATTCGGACGCCGGCTTTTTGAATGTTTCTTTTCTTTTCAAGAAGAAGAAGAGTTTTCCTCTCTGTTTTTGTTGTTTCTTGTATTTTTTTTCTTTGCACTGAATGATATCCGCTACTGCGAGATGTGATAGATTTATTCCAGGGGTGGCACAGAGACGGCAGGGAGGTTATGGTGTTCTTGAGACTCTTCTTGCTTTTTACTTTTCTGGGGAATTACTTATCAGCTACTGTTTCATAATTGAACATCAACTATCCATGACACTTTTATCGCGGGAGCTGTCTTTAAATGTGGGGCGAGTCACACCACACTACTCTAAAAAAGACCTGTATGATGGGGAAATCGACCAGCACCTGCTCTGTTTGCTCAATTTTCGCTGTTTATCAGGAGTATTGGAGGTAATGTCGGTGTTTTCCGCCAGCCATTACCCTCACATCTCCTCTGCTATTCTGATAATAGATGAGCGATTTTCTGGACAGTGATCCGTGATGTGATGTGATGGTATCGGCCTATTGCGTTGCAAATGAGTAAGAGCGGTTCAACTGACTACGAATGGTACAATGCAGGTTACTCCGCAGTTAAGAAAAGAAGCACAGGAAACAGGTGGATGCCCCCGATAAGACTCTGGCGCCTCGTCGAATCGGTCGTACAAGCATACGGCCAAGATAGGGCTTTGTTGAGACCAGCTCCCAGAGTATGGTATCACAGCGATATCAGCGCGTGTCTGTTATCACTTCATTTTCACTGTTCGGAATAAAAGAGCTAGTAGCAGAAATAACCGTATTGGGTAGGGGCTAGACGTGAATATAGGATGTGGAGTTACTCGGTGTGTGGAGCGTTGTCTACTTCACGAGCGTCCAGTGGCCCCATCACTGTCTTGGAGCGTTAAATGTGAGACATTCTGTGCAGCTGCAGAAAGGGCCGTCTTCTTCTAGGGAGGACTTGCTCAACTCTGGTAATCGGGGATAGACGCAGAACTCAGAAACTCGTGGATAGTTTTCTAAGGTTCGCTGCAAAATGGTCCATGCTTGGCCAGTTTCGTTGCACAAGGGAGGGATTGCAGCGCTTGAGGGATACAAATCCCAACTACACTTAGTCATATAAATATGAAGACGGAACAGACCTCAGGCGTTATCTCGTAGGACTTGTTGGGATCGACGGCGATGCCTTGTTGGTTCAGCTGGTTATCCTCTGGTGACAGTGGTATTGGCTTGGCTTCTCTGACTCGGTCTTGAGGCGATGCCTGGGCTCAATTCTCCTTTCCTCGCGGTAGCTTCTGGTCTGGGGGATCCAGGCCTGGAAGAGCTAGGAAATGGTGAGTTCGGAAGACTTATCATCTCTTTTTTGCGGAGATCTGCTAGCTTTTTCGGGGAATCCGGCCTTGAGTTCTGGGAGCGAGGGGAACCCGTCCTTGATTTCTGGGATCGGGGTGATCCCGTAAGATTTTCTTCCTTTTTCTCTTGAACTTTTACTCGGTTTTGTCGCGGTGTATTGAGCTTCGCTCGCTGAGAACCCGAACTCAGATCATCTTTCTTTGCACGCGCATCTTGCGGTGCAACTCTGCCTTTTTCTTCCTGTGATGTGGTCGCAAGACTTGCAGTGTCCCAGTCGTCATCTCCTTTCTGTAACTGAAATGGTCAGCCACTGGGCTACGGCAGCCAATGTAAGTCTCTTACCTGAATACCACCTTCCATGGCGCTTTCGAATCGAACAATGACTGATCACGTACGTATGCCCGCAACCGATAGAATAAATGCTCTGATACTGCTTTGATTTCTTTGATCACTCACTTATTCTAGTTGCATTGATGTGGCTTTGATAATCATTCACCGAACCTAACGAAATTGAACAAAAATATTCTCAGCAATGGTTAATTTCTGTTCCGCTCAATTACGCTATCCAGGATGACCACGTTGCAGCGGCAGAGTGACAACGGTTTAACAGTTGGCGTCGCGACCGCGGCATTCGCACCACTTCGCAATGTCCCACCGAAAAATGGAACAGGCGCTATGTCCGAATGGAGTACGCAGTCACGCCACCCACCCACTTCTTGGATATGGTGTGAAACTCCTGGTCGCAAAATAAAGTTGTTGTCACCCCTTGGGAGAACGGTATGCCACCCATTATTGAATGTTCACACCCTTATCAGTGTCAGCTCGTTAATTCCTCGTTAATGCGGTAAAGTAGCTAATCGTATCAAAGGTCTCCTGCGTGAACCACATGTGCTTTCGACCTAAAAAGAAGACCAGAAATTTCTAGCGCTTCATGGAGAACTTGGCATCTGTTTAGATAGTAATCCAGCGGACTTCGACTGACTTTGTGTGATGGCTCACTGGTTCCTGGGTAGCCACAGCTCGGCTGAATACTCTCACAGAGACTTTGATGGTGAATGGGTTGAGAGGGAGTGAGACGAGCAAAAGGAGCACCGCCGTGCATATAAATATGTGGGAATTTTATAGATCATTTTGAAACCTTCTTTCTGTAATAATCGAAGCGGGTCTGATGAGGGCTCACTCTTTAAATTCGCCTCAACGTTCCTGGCAGTTTCGATGAGTAGGGAATGAGGACGTTTGTTGAGGGCCTATGAGAACAAGGATCACGTTTTTGTGTACACCCGTGGGAGAAGGAACTCAACTGTCTGTAATAGAATGGATTTTGCATTTCGTAACCTGGAGTCATTTCTCACACCATCCTCTCACATAGTT